TACTCCCCGAACCCAAGAAAACATCTCAAAGGTTTTTGCTGTGCTTTTTAACCTTTCCTTAGGATAAAATAAAAAGTCGGTGGCGACTCTTGCTCAACCGAAACATTTGCTAAAACAAACGCAAAACCTCAAGTCAGTTCTCCCACCGTATCACAACAGGCAAAAGATCAAGGTCGAAATAAGCATTCAGTCAAAAGCTCATAAAATAACAGATAGAAATAAACCGACCAGGAAGGCCGGCGATGTTCAAGAATTACAAGAACGGGCACGCAAGCCCAAAAAGTAGATATGCACGGGCACGCAGGCCCCCCAAAACAACCATCAATAAAAAGGCGCGCAGACCCGACTATAATTTCGCGGCTAGACTTCCCCGGGGCTACCAGCGTCGACAACAGGAGACTCGGGCGGAGGCACGATCTGGCCATCGATGATCTGGGACATGAAGCCCACCCCTTCGGTGTTCAGATCGGGATTCAGCAGAGTAAGTTGGCTAACCGCAGCTTCAAAGCCATCCGCCAAGGCGCCAACATAGTCCGCCTCAAGGAGTTGAATACGGGCGACCAGTTCCGACCGACTCCGCAAGGGAGTTGTCTCCTCCGACTCATCTTCGGCAGGGAGCATGGCAGCCTTCAATTCCTCGACCTTTTTGGCGAGACGCCCGTCGTCGATTTCCAAGCGTTCCCGATCCTCACGAAAGTAGTCCCTCTCCTCAGCAACCTTCCCCGAGTTCTCTTTCTCTGCGGCCAGCAGCTCGGCTTGCTCGCGGAACATCTCCTCAGAGCGCTCTAGGGCATCCTTCAACTTTCGTGAGCTCGCAGTAAGGGTAGCTTTCTCCTGTTCCAGCTCTTTGACGCGATCAGAGTCTGCCCCCTCCTCGGCCAGGACAACGGCCATCTCGGCCATCTTGACCATTCCGACCATGTTGGCGGCCAGATGTTTTCTCCGACTTTCCCTACTCAGTCGCCTAATGGTCTCAGCCTCATCGGCGCTTACAGACAAGGGAAACCCCTCGAAGAAACCCTCCTCTTTAAAACAGGGGGGCAACCCAAAGGACCTCACCGCACCGGACTCCTCGCCAACTTCTGGCCGGCTCTCTACCCGGTTCCTCTTCCTCGGTATCAGATCGACATGCTGCTCGACATCCTGAGCGTCCGGGGACCCCCCAGAAGCATCACCCGAGCTAGTTGGCGGGCCCATCCTCATCGCCTGAGGAGCTCGCACCACTCTCTTGTTGACTTTCTTATCCCGTGTCAACTTTAGAAGCCTCTCCTTTCGTCCAGCCATGAAACCTGCATAAAAGAATCTCGGGTTAGTTCCGAGCAAATAACAAACGAAGAAATTCGAACAAGACTATAAGACAAAAAATAACCTAGCAGGTTCGCGGCCTGCCCGAAGGACTGACACTCCACGAGCGCCTTTGTATCTATAGGTCGGGCCTCAAAGATCGGGTAACCATCTTCGTCGAGAATATCCTTTCCTTCCCTCGTGGCCCACCGGGCAGGGAAGAAACTGTCGACATATCTGTAGAGGGTACCATAGGCCTCCTCATCTTCGGTGCTCATCCCACCCGCGGGCGTATGGTAGTGTCCGGTGCCATGCTCGTAGTGGCGCGAGGTCCAATGCAAAGGAAACTTAGCTACACGCCCAACACCGGACGACCCTCATCGTCCAGAAGAGCCTCCCCGTGATCGTCGGTCACCACAGTTTCTTCCTCGTATACAGACTCTAGAGCAGTTTTGGTGACCGGCCGCACGATGTACCATTTGTCCTTGAACCCCCGGACAGAATCCATATACATCCTGAACAGCCTCTTCGACTGTTTCAGGGAAATCCAACTGTGCCTACCTCCCCGAGACTGGCGCTGTAAATGGAAGACTCTGAAGAAAAGAGGTATGGTCGCCCCAATCCTTAAAAAGCGACACGTTAGTTCGAATGCCCGGAGAAAAGCAATCGAGTTGGGGTGAAGCTGCGACGGGGCCAGCTCCAGGTGACTAAAAACCCCGACCTGAAAATCACTAAAGGTGAGCTTTAGGCCAAGGTCCTTAAACGCGATCTCATACATAGGAAACCCGTACTCGGGGAACTCCGAGCAAATCCGTGCGTTAAGAGACGGTCTGGTGACAACGAAATTTTTCTGAAAGCCGGGCTGACTACCGCCCTGCTCGATGATAGTATACGCGCTCCGACTGCGCCGACTATAAGCAGAAGCAATCCCTCTGGGCTCGGCGCCCACCCACTCTAGCAGAGGATCGTCAATGGTATCGATCAGATTCACATTTTCCTCGGCGCTTTGATCTTCCACCTCGTGACACCCCGAGGAACATGGTTCATCGGCCATTATTACCTGCAAAGCACAGGAAACCGGTCAATTGGGGAGCAAATCCATACGCTCGCCATAACTGACGGGAAGAAGGGCACGACAAGCCGAGTCACACTCCACACACGATTAAAACGTTGAGGACTCAAACAAAAGTCTGGTATCACCTCCCCGATGCCAAGATGCCACGACAAGTCGTCCTACATACTGCCTAAAGGGGCCAACATCCCGGCCAATCATGAGTACGTCGATCTAAGCTTTGGATATGACGAGCAATACCATGAATCCTAAACCTAGAACTAGGAGTTTACCGAGCAAATCATGAGTTAGGCGCCCAGAACCATGAAGATATCGGGCAGCATTGCGAGTCACGTGCCTAAACTATGCGTTTACCGAGTACAAACATGCATTCACCGGTCGTAAACACGAATACGTCGGGCAGGAATACGAATATACCGGGGCTAATCCCAGACGCAGAGTTCCTAACATACAAATAATGGAAAAAATCATCTACCACAGAGAAAAAACATGAAGGATGAGACGCTTACTTGAAATCAGGAAAGAGGTACGGCGACGGAGAAGGGAATCGACGGCGGAAAGCACGACGGTCCTATGAAAATCTAGAAAAAACAGCAGCAGCTAAGGCAAAGGAAGGAGGAGAAGCGCGAAGAGGAAAAACATATTATGGGACCCAATGACCCTTTTATAGTGATGACGTGGAAGACGAAACGTCACCCCGGGGAACCACGAACTTCCCCTCCTCGATGCATAGCCCCTAGGCAATGATGGCTCTATCTCCAATAGGGTGGCGGCACGCTTCCCAAGGGTTGCCTCGTATACTCAACGAACACGGCCGTCGAGGGTCCCCCGAGCACCCTTCGAAAGGAACTATCTCACGAACGCGACGCAGGGGAAGCTCCTCAAGCAAACACGGGGAACCAAATCTCTTGACCGAGCATGAGGCCCCGTGACAAAGGCGAGCTGAGATCAAGTCATAACTCCTGCTCCAGGAGTCACGACTTAGGGGGCTTCTGTTCTGGACTGGGTCCAGGTTGGCCCAAGAGCAAGAATAGGCCCAATCCAAACGACTCTACAGGGGGCGCGTCGACCAGAAGCTACGAATGTGCCCGCCACCGCCCGCGAACGCAACATCCTCGACCCATACAGTCCAGCTCGAGTCCAGCTCGAGCACCCCCTCGTAGGGAAGACTGTGACCGTTACACCCTCACCCGAACTCCGAAAAGACCGCGTCCTCGTCCGTCCGTACTTCTCGCAGAGCACCCAGGAAGGAGACCACGTGCGGGTCCCCACTACACACGTAGAACCTGACAGTTTCTTTATTGGGCCAATCTTGGTCGGTCCAATGAAGGGACCTTGGCCCAGCGCTGGGGGCTATAAATACCCTATATTCCAATAGGGTCAGGTATTCATTCTCTTACACATATATACACACTTTTCCTGCTCGTACTACCACTCATTTCAACATCGGAGTGCCTTGCAGGTACCCCCCATCTCGTTCAAACTTCAGCTCAGAGTCAGTCGTGACGGTCCAAGTCTGATCATGTAAGATCAGTTGGTATATACAAAGCTTTCAAGTAAAGTGAAAGACATTAACATAGATTAGAAACTTTGAATGCATACAACCAAACTCACAAGGAAAATGAGAGGTGAAACAATTTGTTGATCTTATATTCATTTCTACACCACACTACTCCATCAAATTTTCGAATATTCATTAAATCTTTGAGTTGCAGGATGTGGTCAAGTTCAGAATATTCCATAAATCTTTGAGTTGGAGCTTCCCAAGTTTTTAGAATTTTATTACTTATCACACAATAAATCAAGATCTACATGAACCGATAATCCATGAAAAAAATAAGATATCTCGTATAACTAATGGTGATGGAGGGAAAATCTTCAGGTGGCCTCATACTCTATGCTCTGTAAGAATTTATATATGCAATAACTCTGTCCACTGGTGTTTGCACATGATCGTAAAATCCTCCATGTTCGTCGTAAGTAACTACAAACAACATTTCACTCCATTGTGGTGTATTATGCATGATTCTGCAACATGTATTTTCAAATCCAATGTGGTGTATTGTGGTAGACAAGGACCGTGGTTACAGGTACATAGAGGAATCGCTACCGATGGAAACAGTGTGGAGCAAAGATAGAGCGCACATCTTAAACAAAATAAATAAAGTTTTATGTTGTAACCGGTAAAAAAAATAGAAACTCATTACCATTAATTTTTATCTCAGAAAAATAACAAATAATTCTAATTCAGAAACTTAGCTTTTATGTTCAAGAGTAAGATGAATATTTAATAATCATTATTTTTATATATTAAAGAAAAGAATTTTAATTTTTTAATTGTGAACCCTTCTCAGTTTTAACTGTGTCTACATATCTAAGAATGTGGGCCTCAATCTCCTTGATCCCATCTCAAAACTAAATCTAAACAAATGATAATTATAAAATAAAAACAAAAAATAAAATAAAGAAAATTATAACAACACATCAGAGGCGTGGCAACTTGCTAAAGAGTTTTTTTTTGTGACTTCTTGGATAGCCATACATATCCTGACAAGTGGCAAGAAATAGAAAAGAAAAAAAAAATAATAATAATAATAAAAAGATAGAATGAAGAATTGAAACCTGATACCGTAAATTTTGTCTTCTACTTGTTCAAACCCTTCATCACATCTTTTCTTGGCCTCTCATCTTCTGAGTCCCGGCTGTGTTGGGTCCGATCGGAGAGTTCGCGGAGGGTCATACGCAGTTGCGGTTGGAAGTAGATGAGTGACCCATCAGATCTTGAGTGGAGGTTGGTTGACGTGGCTGCGTGAAACCCATCGGAACTGTGTCGGCGTCCGTTTGTGTCGGCGTCCGTTTGTGTCGGCGAAGCTGCTTCCAGTGGATTTGACTCCTTCTTTGATTTTTCTTCTGCAAAAACAAAAACAAACAACACAGTAATGATGGTCTTTTTTTGAATCCGATATTTTTGAAGGATGATCCTTGAAATTGAAATTGCAGGTTGTTGTGATTTTTGGCTTATGAGAGGTTCATGTTTAGAATGATGAAGGTAGAAATTTGTTAGTGAGGAAGATTGAATAAGGGTGATAGTATTGGTTTGCTGGAAAAAGTGATAAGAAGGTTTTTTTATGTGTGTATGTGTAAGGTTTGTATGTACAATGAAAAGTATAATATGTGTCTTTGTGAATGTAAAAGGTGGATATAAGTCCTAATGAGAGAAAAAGTTATTGTACGTGTAAAAATTTGTGAATAAAAAATTGGCCTCTCAACAAATTAATAAAAAAAACATAATTTTAGAAATATGTCAAATAGTCATCATCCGATAAAAATAATAAATAAATAACAATTAAAAAGAAGATGAAATTGAAAATAAAAAGGAGATCTTATATAAAATCATCGAAATAATTATTTTTAAAAATTAATTAATTAAAAATACAAAAATAATATTTAAATAATATAAAAAATGATTTTCTTGCAATTCTGAAAATAATTAAAAATTAAAATAGATAATAACAAATAAATAGAAAAAAATATCTAAAGTGTACCAAGTGAGGTTTCAACTCATGATCTTATGCTTGTAAGTTCAATTTCCTTACCAATTGTGATATGTCATTATATTCGAGATAAAAAGGCACGTCGAAGCATACGAAGAGTATGAATATATTTTGCTATTTTTAAAATACAAATAATTTGAAGTAAATTATTATATATTTTAAATAAACAAAATAAATTATTGTTAAATTCAAATGTTAGTAAAACTCAAAAAATTTATGAAACTAAGATCTAAAATAATTTGAATGTTTTAAAAATAAGGCGGACAAATTTGGGTATGACATCGTGCATACGTCGTGCAAGAAAAAAATCTTGAGATCAGTTATTACTAAACATGACCGCGTCTTCTACGAACTCAAATTTAAGTTTGACGCGTAAGCCTTTGACGAATGACTTTGATATTCAGAAGTTAGAATACAGTACCTTCTGCAGCTACTGAACATGGCTTCTCAAGGTTCTCGTTCTTATTATTCCTCTCCTCTTTCCATTTTAAGTCCACCATTTCAACAAAACCAATGAAATTTTGGTGTCTCAAAACAGTTAGATAGGGGACGGGTTTCTGGTTAGTATGATGTGATCTCATCTAAAAATATAAATTATAATACTTCAAAATGAGAGACTTTCAGCAGTCAGAAATAAAATAAATCTCACTGTTAGAAATGTTACCAAATCATCGTCAACTATGAGGAGATGACTTGCAGGAGTTTTCCTTTTTGAAGATGTTGTTACTTGTTTACATCAATTCTGTTGCAGTGAATTATTCACATGCTTTTTAAGTTCCACATCCAAATTAAAACATTCAGATTGAAAGTTCTTCACACAATTTTCAAACTGATATGGAATCTAAAGTTTAGATTTAGCCCGCAAATTAGAATCCAGACGCTTATGTTTAAGTAAACTCGCACTTTTCTTTCTCATTTCACATTTCCATTTATACAGAAGAGCAAAAACATAGAATACAAAGAGATGATAGTCATTTGGGATTACAGAGCAATTTCTCCTCATTTTTAGACCTTCTCATAGCTTTTATCCATTACACTGAAGCTTATCACGTCTCTACTCCATTGCATTTCACTTATTTGAAGCTTTTATTCATTGTATTGAAGATTATCATGTCTCTACTTCACTGCATTGCACTTATTTGAAGTTTGTCTTCATTTTATTGGTAAGTTGTCCATTCTCTTTCATTTTTTTATTTCACATGCGTGTGTGTTCAAGTTTTCTAGGTTAGTTTGTTTCTATGGAAGTCTCTTTCTAATGATTTCACTACACACTTTTGATAAGTTCACCATCTCCTTATTTGGAAGTTTTCTTTTCTTTGCTAGGAGCTCCTTTAAAATCTTTGCATAAGTCAGAATTTGTTGAAACACATTAGAGAATGGCATCGCCTCTGCAAGCTATTATACAATGTTAGAAAAAATTTATAATGTTCTTATTACAAAAATTTCTTCTTTATAGGGGGCATTTGAAGACATGATATTTTTCTTTGTTTTTCTCTCCCTTTGTTATATCTTAATTTTTACCCCTAAGATCCCTTATCATTTTGCATTTTTTCATTACAACAAGATCACATGCAAGGTAGCATCCTCCTAATCATGATGGCTCTCACTTGTCATGCAGGATCACCAAGGACATTGTGATTGTATCTTTATCTTTATATGTTTTATGTTTCACTAACCACTAATCAAAATACAAAAATTTGCCTTGTTTATTTTGTTTATTTTGCAAGATAGAGGTTTGGAATCAAGTGAATCAAAGAAGTTTCCAAATTAGGGTTTCTGAATCTCCAAAGTCAAATAGTGGTCAACATTGGTCATCAAAGGCTTGAGAATTAAGGATTAACCTATAATATTAGGTCATATCATCTTTAATCATCATTCAATCACCAATTGATCAAGAATTATTCAAGTTTGGTTACTTATTTCTCAAGAAAAGTCAAAGGTTCATGTGTTTATTTACATGCTTTCTTCATCCAGTAACCTCAAGTTTTGACAAGTGTAAGCATGAATCAATCAAGATTTAATATTTATAAGTTCATATGTGTATCATCATGCCTTGGAAGGCAAGAAAAGATCAAGTATGCAAGTTGATTCAAAGCACTTGACCAAAAAGTCAATATTTTCAAGTTTAAGATCAAAAGATCACACCCCCTTCATTATTCAACATTTTTAGTGACTCTTTAGGCATATGACTCTACTTGACATCCTCTCAAACTTCCTTTACAAGTCAAGAGCCAATTATATTTGGAAGATCATAAAATTTTTGGATACATTATAGGTCATTTGTGGACTTAGTGAAATTTTGACCTATTTCCAAGTGATTTTTGCTCAACTTTCAAGAATCATAAATTGCTCAATTTTTATCATTTGAGGCTCATTATTTTGAAGAATTCTCTCTTTTATGCCCTCTACAAGCTCTCTTTAATGTTTGAGTTCTAATTTTGTTTGGAAGGCCATGGAATTCATTGATATATTACATGTCATTTTGAAGCATTTTAACTTAGAATTTTTTCAAGTTTGTGAAGTCAGAATTTCATGCAAACTTCAACATGCTATAAATTTTAACTCAATCATCCAAATGCGACATTTCTTGGCACATTGTGATTTTTATGATGATGTCTACAAATTGCAAAAAGAATGGAATCAAAAGCCTCTTGTGCAAGATGCACCATAGGTTTGAATATGGCCACTTGGAGCTGAAAATTTCACCATGATCAGATTTTGAAGTTCCTTAATTCTCAATTACAAGCCCAAGTATCACGTGCTTTTCACTCTAATCATGCTTTCCAAGTTTCCTGAAGTTAATTGACACATACAACACGGGTTTAAGGTGAGTTTTGGGCAAATGCAAGTCACATTTTCTTTACCATGAGGGTGTACACGAGTTCACTCATTTCTTTATCATTTCACCCCTCTCAACATTCTATCATCCTCTCCTATAAATAGAGACCTTATTCCCTTCATTTTACAATGTTTTGAGAGCCAGAAATACTCTGCCAAACTCACTTCAAATCTCAAAATTCTCTCACTTCGTTTTCATATTTCCCAAACTTCCATATCCAAATTTTTGATTCAAACACCTTCTCTGATCTTCTCTAAAGTTGACCATATCAAGATCAAGCCAAATCATGCACTGAATCAAGCTATCCAAGTCCATTTTTAGAAGCTTTTCACCTTACTTCCTTCAGGTAGATTCCAACACCAATAAATCTATAAAAATTAAAGTAATTGGAAAAATCACAAATATCCTTCTAATTCCAAGTTCAATTTTTTCTTATTTCATGGACAAATATGATTTTTTGTAATACTACTATCACCATATGCATTTGACAATTAATATAGCTGAGGTGTCATCATATTACATTTTAATATATTTTTATTTTATTTTTAATCAATTTATTACATAATTATTCCACTAATGCATCATTTGAATAGCCTAAACCTAATATTCAAAGTTTTATTACAGGTTCATGAATATTATTTGGAACATGAAGAGGCGGTTTAACAAAAGAGTAGAAGCGATTTTCAAAGTTTTATTACAGGTTCATGAATATTATTTGGAACATGAAGAGGCGGTTTAACAAAAGAGTAGAAGCGATTTTCGTTTTTTTTTTTGTTGCCTTTTTTTGTTTTATTTTAATTATTATTAATTGGATTAATTCTTGATTGATTGATCAAAAAAATCTGCTACTATTTTTGAGATATTTAATTCATTAAATATTAAATGTCAAAAAAAAAAAGGAAGTTAATGAGAAAGAAATTTTTTGTACGGTAAGTTTTTCCTTATTTTTTTTTAATGGTTTGTTACCATTTATTATGGTTTGATTTGTTTGATCAATTAAGCTCTTTAATTGTTGCAAGCATTTTTTTTATTCAATAGTAAATCGTATTGTTATCTTTTATTCTATTTACCAAATGATCAATTAATTATTTTTCATTGAGGAAGTCTTGATTGTTCTTTTCTCTATTTTTCTTTTCTCCTTAATTTTCTTAACTAAAATTAGAGTTTTGTTGCACATTATATTATATTTTTATATATTATTAATCAAAATTTTAAGGGAATGTATAATTTATAGTTTATTGAACAAAATCAATCACAATCTTACTACATCACATTGGTAAATAAATGTTAAATTATTATTTAATATTTTAATTGATTTTTCGATATTATTAGATCTGATTTTTAATTTATCTACTGATATTTATGCTAATAAATATTAAATTATTATTTTTTTACTTGCCTAATTATATTTTTTTTAAACTTATAAAATTACTAAAATAAAACAAAATTTTTTCAAATTAACTTTATAATAGTAATCATGATAAACAAAAATGACAAATGATATTCATGAAAAGATATATTAAATAGTATTTAAGAAAAATAATAATGATAATGAGAAAAAATGTATTGATATATAATGGGAATTTATAAATATGATGTGAATTTTAGTTTGTTTTTTTTTTTTTGACAAAAAGAAACTCAATTCATATCATTAAATAAAAATGGTTCAATATAAGGAGGACTCAAATAAAGAATAGTGCGTTGAGACTAAGAATTGACCGTCCGCGTTAGGCTATGAATAACACAATTAGTTTGACGTTTTACAAACTTGACCTCAAAGTCGTTATGAGAAATAAGAAAAATTTCTAATACTAGCAATAATCATACTATATTTAGAGTTACCGGATAAGGTTGTGTGAGTAGCTTGAACCAGTAATTGCGAGTCACTTTCAAAGATGATATGATTCAAACTAACTGGATTGTTCCTTGGATCGCTTCCTTCAAAGTCATCGCCTCTGCTTCGAAAATAGAATATCGCCTACGATCCCACAATGTACCATCCAATAAATATATAATGGTTCAACTTAAGAAAGGTTATCTTATGGCTTATATTGTCATCTATTATAAATCTATAAAAATCAAAGTATTTGGAAAAACCACGAATATCCCTTGAACCAGTAATTGCGAGTCACTTTCAAAGATGATATGATTCAAACTAACTGGATTGTTCCTTGGATCGCTTCCTTCAAAGTCATCGCCTCTGCTTCGAAAATAGAATATTGCCTACGATCCCACAATGTACCATCCAATAAATATATAATGGTTCAACTTAAGAAAGGTTATCTTATGGCTTATATTGTCATCTATTATAAATCTATAAAAATCAAAGTATTTGGAAAAACCACGAATATCCCTCTGATTCCAAGTTCAATTTTTTCTTATTTCATAGGAAAATATGGCTTTTTGTAATACTACTATCACCACATGCATTTGATGATTAATACAGCCAAGGTGTCATCGCATTACATTTTGATACAATTTTTTTATTTTAATCAGTTTATCACATAATTATTCTACTAAAATCAATTTATCACAGAATTATTCCACTAATGCAGCATTTGAATGGCCTAAACCTAATCTGCAAAACTCTATTACACATTCATGCATACTATTTAGAATATGAAGAGACACTTTTCAAATAACCACAAACACAACTCTCCA